CCGAACTATGTTCAACACAGCACTCATTATAATGTATGAACCTACAAATTAAGTTGTTTCTTTAGGTGCATTGAACTGCTCTCTTCTCTGTAGGTAGCTCAAGTGCCAGCATTCTATGCTAGTTGTCATATACACTCTTCACACTTCCCTAAGCCTCAAGAAAACTCCATACGTGAACCTTTGTTGATTGGCTGCCTTAACTCTAAAGTCATTCTGACCTCTTTAGACCTAATTCCTCATTTTCCCTCCCCATTATAATGTCAGACAAGCCAAGTAATGAGCTCGAGTCATGTCTTGTGCGTTAACGGACCCTCAAACCGTTTCAAAATAGGAGAACAATTCTTTTCCACCACAAGTAGCTTACTCTGGCCATCGTAATTTTCTTCGAGCCTACAGCCTTCACGATAGTCTGAGCTCCGATTGAGGGTACTACAAAATTCAGGCCCCACAGCCTCATGATCATAGCGAGATGGGGGAGAACTACAGGATCAGAATGCAAAATAAAGGGTCAGTGTGATTATTCGACCCTTTGTTGTTAGAGCTGCCCAACAGAGACCTGGACGATCCTGTCTTGATATATCTTACATAGAAAAAAATGTCTCAAGTCTAATATTACTGGCAACAGTCTCCTGTTAGGGCTGCAAAATTATATTAACGAGAAACATCGAATGCCTTGGAAGCTGCTATAATAGGCAATTTGGCTGGCTTGACACAACGTGAGAATGCTTGTGGCGAGTAGGCCTTAAAGACCGCTGAAAGTAGAAAGGGTTATGCTCAAAAATGGATATAATCTGATTTATGAAATTAATTGAGGTTATCCTCAAAGCTTCCTCTGAGTTTCATCGATAAAAATGTAGAGAAGTTCGCATCGGCCTTAAATTTGTCTTCTCTCTCTCTCTTCTCTAATCGCCACATGATCAGCAAAACTCAGCCGCCAAGTCAGCCATATAATCTATTTACTCAGCGAAATAGCCACACAATCATCCATCAATGCATCTTGCCTTTTAACTGGATTCTTATAAGCAATTTGGAGAATGGATAAAATCATTTTTGATGACCCCGCATTCTTTGCTTAGGTTGACATCCTTGCTAGCTCGATTCCATTAACTGAATGACCCTTTAGGAAGGAAAAAACTCAGCTTTTAACTATCTATTGATGAAGTTGCCAGCTCAGATAGGAATAGAGGCTTTCGTCGCTTTTGTGGCATGACTTTCCATTTCGAAGGGAAATTTGGTTGGAAGGAATTCGTGATGTGGTCTCACTGGAAACCGAAGGATGATTGTCGCGTAAAGAAGACTGTTGAATTGTGCGAATAAGTCCTCGGCTCAGCGTCCTGCGACCCCGTTGAAAGTGTGCTAAGCTTTCGCCTGTACCACCGTGATAGGCATCATCAGAGCAGGATTCCATACTTTACGAAATAGAGCAAAAATATACTAAACCAAGAGAAAAAGTGGCCAGCTGCAACAATAGTCGCCTTTTTATACACCCAACACCTCGATCCTAATAAGGCCTCCTCTGATTTGGTTGGCTACTTCAACCTTGCTCTACATGGTATGAAGACCACGATGGTGTGACCTTTTGTGTGGTCGCAGTCTCCTTTCGTTGTGTAGAGGTTGTTTGACCTTGTTTTAGCAACTTGGTCATATTGGTAGGAAGACTTAGAAGAACGTACCTAGTCCGGAGTCCATTGTCTGCATGATCATTACCAAAGTTGAACTGTGGACGTGGTACATTCCCAAACGTTTCGCCGGCATCGTCAGTGAGTATCGCCATTCTTAGCACAACACAACAACTCGTCAAGGGAAGCTGACCCTTTGGCCAAAAGTGTGCTAAACAGTCGTGGTTCTGCCCTGGGTTATTCGCGTTTCCGGTAGCATCCTATCCTTGCTCTACATGCTTGCAAATGAGTGAAGTTAACTCCCTGAACCGGAAATGTGTTCGATGGCAGCTGTTTCATGTTTGGGTTTGTGTTATTGTCTGTTGTATGTATGCAATGCTCATATCATGGGTAGTGCGATAGTCCCAGCTAGACCCGAAGCTAATCCAGCCTCCTTCTTTTGCACAGTGGCTCTTCCTGCACCCACTTTCTTTCCATTTTCTTAAGCCCATCCAACTGTCACAAAAAGTTCCAACTTAATTTCCTACACTTATTCTTCCTATTCAAGACGTTGGTTGTTTTGTTAATTTCTATAGACTCCCTAATCTTAGGCTTTGACGTGAAGTCCCCGTAACCCGCAAAATGTTGTGTTTTGGACCATTCTATTGAGTGTTCTGTATTGGCCATGTGATCAGTGAGCCGAAACTTTTGGACCCACAGACCTTATAAGTGATTTTGTGTTAGCATAATCTCTTGTGAATGGGTCGGCATGACTCCCCTACATATACCTTACCCCATGAGCATAAAACCTTGTAATAGCCTGATCTAGAATATTCTAGATACGAAGAGAAACTGGGTTTCGATGAATCTCCTGAGATAACATTGTTAGGGAGACCTTCATTTCCTATGAAAGGACCGGTATTGCGTATAGACGCATACACACACACACGCATACACTCGAGCAAAAGTAGCAGAACACGTTTTTAATTTTTAATTTTCTTTTGGCTTAGCTTAGTCTATATAAGAGTGTTAACATTTGACTTTTACAAGAATGACACCCAGCTCTGATGATGTCCATCAGAGCACGTTTTCACCCGAAACGAGGGAGGAAGTCCCGTAGACTGCGTCAACATGAATATCGTATAAAGACCAACCGGCTGCAGTACAACAATTTTCATCCGTCCTCATCTGGTGAGATCGACCAACGAATCTCTTCTTCATGCACTTTCATACGAAATGA